ATCTCCCTTAATCCTAGAGCTGAGGCAATGGTATGTTAAATATGTTATCACTTTGTGGACTAGCAAAACCTGACTGTCAAGAAAATCCTATTTTCGGGCGTCTGGGTGGCTCAGTCATTTAGCGTCTGCCTTCGGCTCGGGTCATGGTCCCGGGGTCCTGGGATCGAGCCCCGCGTTGGGCTCCTTGCTTGGCGGGGAAGCCTGCTTCTCCCTCTCCCACTCCCCCTGCTTGTGTTCCCGCTCTCTCTCTCTCTCTCTCTGTCAAATAAATAAATAAAAATCTTTAAAAAAAAAAAGAAAATCTTATTTTCTTATTGAAACATTATAAAATTGGATATTGAAGATGTGTCCCTCCTCTCCAAGAGAAAAAAACACCCCAACTTTCCTAATAGTCTGAAGTGAAAGCTTTTGGTGAAGAGAAAGAGGAGTAATAGTAGTACTAACAATAGCAAACACTTATATAGTACTTACTATATGTGCCAAACACTGTTCTAAATATGTGTTAGCTATTATTACTGTAAAATACAAATCTGGACCTCAAAGGAAAGATATGACCTAGAGATAAAAATGTGTGAGTCATCTGCATGTGGGTGGTATTTGAAGTCATGGGCATAACTGAAAATGTCTAGAAGAGTTATATATAAGAAGAGAGCAAGACTAGGGCTATGTCCTGAGGAACTTCATCATTTGATGGCCAGGTAGAAAACGAAGAGCCTGCAAAGGAGACTGAAAGGAATGGTCAGAGAAGTAGGAGGACAGCCAAGAGGAGCCATGGGTCATAGAAGCCAATGTATTGAATGTTATTTCAAGGAAGAAACCATCATGAGTGTCAATTTTTGCTTGTAAGATCAAGTAAGACAAGGACTAAAAAGTATCCACTGGATTTAGTGACTTGATGGCCCAAAGTGACCTTATCACCACAGACTGAGTGGGATAGAAGCCAAATTGAAGTGTGTTTTGAAGGGAATAAGAAGGTGGAAATAGAAAATGAATAGTTATTTCAAGAAGTTCACTTATAAAGGAGAGAAAGGAGTTAAGTAGCAGTTGGAAAGGGTTATGTAGTCAAGGGAAATTGTTTTTGTAAAATCGGAGACTTGAGCATGTTTAAATGTCAATGAAAATATCCAATGAGAGGGAAAGGTTGAATAAACAGGAGAGAGAAAGGATAATTAGTAGTAATAAAGTTCCTGGGAAGGTATAAGGGAAGAGGATACAAAGTACAATGGGAAGAAATAAGAAGTATAAAGGAGGTAAGGAGAGGATTTGTGCTAATGTGAACAGATATGTACATTTGATGGTGGGAAGTAGGGAAGTAAATGAGATAACGCATGCAAAGCACTTAGCATAGTGTCTAGCAGGTTAGTTTGTATGAGAAACAGTAGCTATGGTTATTGTTGTTGTTATTATTAATGTTATGCACCTGCTTGAAAATTTCTTACATTTTAGGCTTTGGACTACGTAAAATAAGTACATTACATTATTAATTCTATAAACTTGAAATTTTATAGATCAAGTTTATATACAACAAGGGTTACTTGAACTTTTTGATTCCTCACCTTCATCCTCTCCAGGAAATCTGAGTAGCTGCTGGTCCCCTGATTTTGATAAGATAGAAAAAAGTTGTACATTTAAGATTAGTGCACTTTCTGCACTTTTCTATATGCATTCTACACCTCTAAATCTTTTAAATGTCCATCAAAGCCCCTATTGATGTCAACTCACCTGTAGAAAAATGACATTAAAAGTAGACTGCTGCCAGGGTTTGAAAGGACCTGAAAGGTTCAGGTCAAGAGGGAAACTTTATTTGTACTTCAAATCCATAGAATGAGAGCAGAGAAATGAGCCAGAAATGTTGAATATCCTGGACGTCCAGGAAGCCCCTTTAACTCTGATCAAACTTCTCTGTGAGGTTGAGATGCATTCCCTGGATGCATCCTCCAATATCCCCTAATCTTGCCTCAATCTCCAAATCCTCAGCCATGCTATCCTGTGACCCCTTACCTTTGCTGCCCATGTCCGTTCCCCCACCTCCATCTTACTTCTAGCTCCCAATGAGACCTTATGTTCCTTGAATCTGAACTGAGAGAAAAGGGTGCTATGAAAAGAATTTGATGGGGCGCCTGGGTGGCTCAGTCATTAAGCGTCTGCCTTCGGCTCAGGTCATGATCCCAGGGTCCTGGGATCGAGTCCCACATCGGGCTCCCTGCTCAGTGGGGAGCCTGCTTCTCCCTCTCCCACTCCACCTGCTTGTGTTCCCTCTCTCGCTGTGTCTCTCTCTGTCAAATAAAT